GGGCGCAAAGGGAGACCCTTTTCAAAAAAAACAAAAAAAAAAAAAAAAAATTCAAATAGAATGCCAGGTATGGTGGTACACATTTTTAATCCCAGCACTTGGGAGGCAGAGGCAGGCAGATCTCTATAAGATTGAGGCCAGCCTGGTCTACACAGCGAGTTTCCCATGCCAGCTGGGGCTATAGGGAGACCCTGTCTCAAAAACAAATCAGACAGTATTATGTATGACATACTGTTTCAGAATGTCTATTGCCCATTACCTAGGGCACAAAGGCAAATTTTAACAAGCATTCAGCAGCCCCCCACTGATCTCTACACACCTCCTTCTGCACCCTCACAGATGCTTTGTGCTGCCTCTATACCACACTGCCAGCAACACCTCACACGAAAGCAAATTTCTTGCAAGGGCCTTTGCATGTACTTTCTTTTAGCACCAATCTTTTTACCCAGTGTTCAAAAACATCTCTGCTCTTTGAATGCACAGACATCTCCTTTGTTAACCCTTTTGTTCCCCTCTTTTAGAAGAGTGGTTCTTTTTAATTTTTATGAGTGTTTACCTGTATGTATGTGCGCTATGTAACTGCCTGGCATCTACAGAGGTCAGAAGAGGGCATCAGATCCTCTAGAACTAGAGTTACAGATGGTTGTGAGCCATCATGTGGGTGCTGAGGACCAAACCTCAGTCCTCTACAAGAGCAGGAAATGCTTGTAACTGCCGAGCCATCTCCCCAGCCCCCAAGTGGCTCATTTTTTATGATATCACAAACCTGCTCAGATAGTTGAGATTTTTCTGCCTAGCATATGAGAAAACTGAAGCTCATTCAGGTTAAATGCAGGGCACAAGGCTGCTTATATTTGGTCTTGAATCAAAAAGCAGCCAAATATTGCTGAAGGATCATAAAATATAATAGGGTAGCTAGGTGTGGTGACACACACCTGTAATCCCAGCACTGAAGAGGCAGGCAGGAAGTTTGAGACGAGCCTGGGGTACCTAGCGAATCACAAGTTTGAGACTAGCGTGAGCTACCTAGAGAATTACAGACCAACCTATGTTATAGAATGAAATCATTTCTCAAAAACAAAACAAACAAGCAACAATAACAAAAAACTGGTATGGTGGCTCATATATGGGAGGCAGATCCAAGATGATTGTCACAAGTTCAAGACCAATGTGTTCTGCATAGTGAGCTCCTGTCTTAAAACAAGCAAAGAAACACACATATAGAGTGAGACAGAGACAGAGATTGTATGAAAGTGTCCAGCTTCAAGTAGGTCCTTTTCAGACCTAGTCAAGCTGACTTCATTACTTTATTCCACTTTTGTTTCTCCTACTAAACTGGGGGTTTCTTTTTGTTGTTGTTGTTGATGATAGTTTTGCTTTTGCTTTTGTTTCATTTTGCTTTGAGAAAGTGTCTTGCTATGTAACCCAGGCTATCCTAGAGTTCATAATCCTGCTAGCCCCAGCCTCCCAGTGTTGGGTACCACAATGCCCTCTTAGACTAAGAACTTTCCGAGAAGAGGAATCGTGCAGGGTTTTTTAGCTTTAGCATTTTAATCTATGTTGAAGCATGACTGTGTCTCCATAAATATTTATTGAATGAAAAATTCCAAATCTTGAGTAGTGTGCACCTAGAAGTTGGTTTGTTCCCTCTTCCTCTCATCTGCCACTAGACATTCCTTAAACTTCATGCCATCTCTGAATGTACCTCTGTGTTCTTCCCACTTGTCCTGACCAATAGAACTCCGGATCAAGAGACAGAACTCATCAGATAGCATCTCCAGCCTCAACAGCATCACCAGTTATTCCAGCATTGGCAGCAGCAAGGATGCTGATGCCAAAAAGAAGAAGAAAAAGAGTTGGGTAGGTAAAGGTTTTGGAGCCAAACCATAGTAGACTGTTTTCACCTCAGTGCAGGGATCCAATAGTTTCAGGGTTAACCAAGAGATCGTCCCTTCTAGTACAAACTTGACTTTGACACCTGCTTGGATCAAGATCTGCTGAATTCTCATTCCTCTAGTCATTGCCTACTTGTCCCCAGCTTCCCTGCAGCCTTTGTACATGTCTGCTTTCCTGAGGCTCGCCATATTGATGAGGTCAAATGTATTTGACCACAGAAGGAGCTTGGAAAGAAATGGCATATCACTTCCTCTCCATTCCCTCACTGTGGGGAGATTTATAAGCAAAGCGGCTCATTCTAGATCCCTGGGAGCCGTTTCCTTGGTTTTGGAGAGGGGCTTGTAGACCTTCCAGCATCACTCCAGAAGCTCTCTATATGTTACTTTGGGCTGGTCCAGAGGTGGGTTTTTCATGTGTATTGTCCCTCCCATAACCCTAAACTGACCTTGGATGATCTTTCTAAAATCTTTAGGTAGATCTAGGGTGTTCTCAGCTCCTCTGGCTGACTATGGAAGGGAGAGCATCCCAGATCCAGACTTCTTGTTCCTCTGTCCCCTGTTCAGGAGGACTATCCACAGACCTTTGCCCAATGCAGAAAAGAGCCAGCTGTGTGAAATGAGTGATTAAGTGTTGCTTCTTCTTCTTCTTTTTCTTTTCACTTTTTTTCCTTCAAAATGCTGACTTCAAATCCCTATTTTTTCCAGGTTTATGAGGTAAGAGATCCCATTCCTCTCCCTTTACTTTTTCTTTCCCTTTGCCACACCCTCCCTGTTTCAAGAGCAACTCCTTCCACTTAAAAAAAAAGGTCCACTCATAACACTAACTGCCCCCCAGTTCCTAACTTACCTCACTGCATGATACATCCACAGCTTCCCCTCATGAGGACAGAGGAGTGGTCTGCTTAGGGGTCAAATGGGAAATCCTAACAAAATTTAAATCTGTTGCCTACCATCTTTCCTTGTTCTAAAATTGGCCTGTTATAAAAAGCAGACACATTGTACTTGTTATCCAGGAAATGAGCTTTTTTAAAATTTTTGTTCTGGCTGGAAAGATGGCTCAGCAGTTAAGAGCACTGACTGCTCCTGCAGAGGATCTGGGTTCAGTTCCCAGCACCTACATGGCAGCTAACAACGATCTGTAACTGCAGTTACAAAGGATCTGACACCTTCTTCTGACCTCCGAGGGCATTGCACACAACACAAGTGCGTTTACACACATGCAGGCAATACCCTCAGACACATAAAATAAAAATAATAAATAAAATATTTTTTAAAACTTTTGTACCATTTAATTTAGAAGCCTAAATGGAAGAGAATTATTGGCTGAAGGTTATCAGTTTCTAGAGACCAGTTCATTTTGACTTTAACATAAAAATTTAGTTCTAGAGAAATATGAACCAAAGACAAATGAGAGATGTGGTCCAAGCTAGGGAATTCTAAAGTCACCCTGAACGCCATGGACCTTCCAAGGACATTTCAGGGCTACAGTATAGTCTAAGGCAAATAGAAAGTGACCCAGAATTTCTGTTCCAAAATAGATGTCTGACCTTCACTCTAACGTTCTCCTAACATGTGCTAGGAGTTGTGAAGAATATGAAAAATTGAGGCCATTATTCTAGTCATTAAGAAGCCTCCCAACCTGGTGGTATATGCCTGAAACCCCTGCACTGGGGAGACTGAGGCAGGAGGAACGCCATGAGCTCAAGGCCAGCCTGGGCTACATAATGAGATCCTGTCTCAAAAAGTGTAGAAGAGGGCCCATGAGATGACTCTGCAGGTAAAAGCACTTGCAATGCAAGTGAGTTAGGTACCAGGAACCCACATAAAGGTAAAAGGAGAGAACTGACTCCACAAAGTTGTCCTCTGACCTCCACACACATCATGGCACAGGTGTATACACCGACACATGCAAACAGTAATAACATAAATAAATTTTTAAAAAACAAAATTGGAGCCAGGCGTGGTGGCGCACACCCTTAGTAGGCAGAGGTAGGAGGATCTCTGTAAGTTCAAGGCCAGCCTGGTCTACATAGTGAGTTCCAAGACAGCTAGGGCTACAGGGAGACCCTGTCTCAAAAAGATCCCCCCCCCCAAAAAAAAAGATAAAACAAAATCAGGACTGGAGAAATGGTTCAGTGGTAAAGAGCACTGGCTGCTCTTGCAGAGGAACTGGGTTCTATTCCCAACACCCACATGGTGACTAACTGTCCTAACCCAAGTCAGGCTGAAGTGAGATTGGGCTAAATAGCCAACAATATATTGGAATGCTTTCTACAGAGACACTGTCCAGTCAGAAGGGAAGCAGTAGAAGCAGGGGTCTGGGAGACCAGCTTCACCAGAGCCCTGACCAAATAGTACAGAGCACAGAGGAGGCCTGGAGGTCATCTAAACACCATTTTTTATATTAGCATTTCCCAAAATGTGTTGTCTACATTACCATTCCATTGAGATGCTCCTTAAAAAGCGATAATATCATCAGATACATTGAGGAGCACTGCACTTTCTACAGAGCACATGTACACTGGAAAAGCTCCAGTATACCTCTCCTTAGCAAAGAATCCTATTCGTCTTTCCTGAACCATTAGCTACAGAGTAAATAACTCCCAGCAGCCCTGACTGTCAGATACTGAAGGATACACAGAGCATTATTGTCACAGATGTTTAATCATTACAGAGGGATTATGCTGTGGCAGATTATGGTCACAGGATTTCTTTCTGCTGAGTGGAGAGAGACAGAGACAGAGACAGAGACAGAGACTGACTCAGATTCCCATGAGGCACTGGTGTGGAGAAAATGCCACAGATTGAAAATTAGAAAGCCTAGATTCTGGTTCCTGGGCTTAAGGTGCACAATAATGGGGCTGGAGAGATTGCTCAGAGATTGGGAGCCCTGGGTGCTCTTGCAGAAGACCTGGTTCAATTCCCAGCACCCACATGGTGACTAACAATCATCCCTAACTCCATTCCAGGGGATCTGACACCCTCTTCTGACCTTCATGGGCATTGTACAACACAGGTGCACTTAGACACATGCAGGCAAAACACTCAAACACATAAAATAAAAATCATAAATAAGATAAAATGTTTTTTAAAAGATGCAGTGTCAAGCAAATCAACTCCGGCCTTTTCAGCCCCATCTCTTCATTTCCACAACTGAGCTTTATGGTACTTTCGACCCCTGATTTCTCCATGATAATACCTGCTAACCAACTGCACACATGCTCTCTCACCCATCCTTCCACAGTCAGATTGGTCCTATAGAAGTCCTGTACACACCCTGCAGTAGCTCCACCAGCTCCCAAGAAACCTATTCCAAGAGAGACACTTTGAAAGGAGATACTCAGTTTATCCTCCTTTTCCTTTACTGTTCCAAAGATGTGATTTGCCTTTGTCCCTTGTAGCCTTTGACCTCTCCTTTACTCTCTGTCTCTTGCTGCCATGCCGTGTCTGTGCCCCTGTTGTGTGTGTGCATGCTGTATGGATGCATGTGAATGGGTGTGGGTCAGGGTCCCCGGCTTGCATATTTAGCTCACATTCCTAACACCCAAACTCATCAACACCAAAATTAAACCAGCTATGGCCAAATTCTAATGCCCCAAGTAGCCCAAGAATTGCAGGGATAGCCCTTGTTCTGTGGCGTTTGGCATAGTAAATAGTGCTAAAAGGTGTGTATGGTAGTGCACATACGTAATCTTGGGAGGTGGAGGCAAGAGGATCAGGAGTTCAACATCAGCCTCTGCTACACTGTAAGCTCAAAGCCAGCCTGGTCTATTTGAGAACCTATCTTTAAAGGAGTTGGGGGGAGGCGTGCTTATATCTGGTGTTTTAACTACTGTGTCATATGCTGAGAATAAAAAATACCAAGAGAAACTTGATACCACTCCCTTCTCTTGATCTCCACAGAACCATACTGTTAGTTTCTAATTGATTTGTGAAGAGATTAATAGATTCTAGGATGATGAGCCCAAGTCTGAGGTGGCATCCTAAGACCCCAAATTAGAGTTTTAAAATACTCAGATATTGGTCTGCTAAAGAAGGTAGATTTGGACTGTTGAGAGATAGACCATGTCACCTCTGTCACTGGGGACATAGTTCCTCACATGGAGTGAGAATACTCAAGATGTTCCCCTAGCCTATAATGGCAACAAACCAAAGATTCTGTTCTCTTGGTCCTAATTTCTAGGTAACTCTGCTGTCATGTGCCACAAATCAACTGACACCTCTTAGAGTGGGCTTAATTACAAGTCAGTCCTCTGCCTCCACATCCCTGTCCCAGACCTAAACCAGTCTTCCTCATCCCAGTGTAGAGCCTTGATATCTCTCTACCTGGTATCTGCTCTCTTCTAGCTTCGAAGTTCCTTCAATAAAGCCTTCAGTATAAAAAAGGGCCCCAAGTCTGCCTCCTCGTACTCTGATATAGAGGAAATTGCCACACCTGACTCCTCAGCCCCGTCATCCCCGAAACTGCAGCATAGTTCCACGGAGACTGCATCACCCTCCATCAAGTCCTCTAACTCATCCTCTGTGGGCATTGAGGTCACTGAGTAAGTGCTCCATCCACCTACCACCCTGGGGAAGCTGCTAGCTGGCAATAATTCCATAGACCCTGACAAATGCCACCTTACTGCTAGCCTTCCCTGAGTCTGTGAGACCCACAAAGGAACCCTTTAAGCATACCAATTGACATGCCGGGCATGTCAGTATCCCCTGGTACTCAATGCTTCTCTGAGAGTCAGGCTGATTCTCACTTCCTTACAGGGCTCCTGCTCACTCAACCCCCCACACTAGACTGTTCCATGCCAGTGAGGAAGAGGAACCAGAGAAAAAGGAGGTATCAGAGCTGCGCTCTGAACTATGGGAGAAAGAGATGAAGCTGACAGACATCCGTTTGGAGGCCCTCAACTCTGCCCACCAGCTGGATCAGCTTCGAGAGACCATGCACAACATGCAGGTCAGTATCTGGGCAAAGCTGTAGGAAGGAGAGAGCACGGTCTGACATGTCTGAAACCCTGCCCTGTCTCTTCTTGCCACAGTTGGAGGTGGACCTTTTGAAAGCAGAGAATGACAGGCTGAAAGTTGCCCCCGGCCCCTCCTCAGGCTCTACTCCAGGGCAGGTCCCTGGATCATCTGCTCTGTCATCCCCTCGCCGCTCTCTGGGCCTTGCACTGACCCATCCCTTCAGTCCCAGTCTCACGGACACAGGTACCTATTTGAGAGAAGAGCCTGTGTGGGTGGAGGAGAAAAGGGCTGGTTCCCTTTTTCACCATTCCACCTGCTGCTCTGTGGCATATTCCTTGAGCCAGGAAATAACAGTATTGAAATCTAGAAGATACCACTGTCAGAAGGCACTAGGAGTTGTTAATGGTTCTTAAATTCTAATGTCTTTTTAGATTCCATTTGTCATAAATAAGGAGTAGTCATTTGGAAAGGATAACTACAAAGTTTAGGAAAAGTGCCCCTAAAACCAATTAGTTCTTTTCAATCCCTACAGACCTATCACCCATGGATGGCATCAGCACTTGTGGTCCAAAAGAAGAAGTAACCCTTCGAGTGGTCGTACGGATGCCGCCCCAGCACATCATCAAAGGGGTAAGGACTTCAGGGAGGGACAGCATAGGAGCCAACATAATATAGATGCTCCTAATTTGCATTGGAGCAAAAGCAGTACATGTTTAGTAGAAACTATAGTTCAAATTTTGAATTTTGACCCTTCTTCGGACTAGCAATATGCAGTATGATACACTCTCAAGGTCCTGGGGTAATGACCACAACTCCCAGCCAGCTGTATAACCATGAAGGTAAACAGCAAATAATTCCATGACTTAAGTGTACTGAATGCACTTTGGACTCACATTATCTTCAACTCATGATAGGTTTATTACTTTTTTGTTGTTTTTTTGTTTTCTATTTGGTTTTTTTTTGTTTTTTTGTTTTTTTTTTTTGAGATAGGGGCCCGTGTAGCTCAGGCTGACCTTGATTCCACTGTGCAGCAGAAGATAACCTTGAATTCCTGGTCCTCTTGTCTCCACTCCAGCTTTTTGGGGGGTGTCACAGAGGTTATAACATAGAGGAATATCTGAACTGTCATATGTATGCAAGAAAATCAAGGTTCTGAGTATTCCTAGAACTAGAGTACTCATCTCATGAGACCTTCTAAGTTCCCCTCTTTTGGTGTCATCTGCATTGAGGCTCACATGCTTCAACCTTAACCTTACAGGACTTGAAGCAGCAGGAATTCTTCTTAGGATGTAGCAAGGTCAGTGGCAAAGTTGACTGGAAGATGCTGGATGAAGCTGTTTTCCAAGTGTTCAAGGTAAAGAGCTACTCATACTCCCACAGGCTCTCATCCTCTTAAGGGGCATTCAGCCATCCAGGCATGGGATCCTGGGAACCTTTACTACTTTATGGAGACAGGCAAAACAGGAAAAGTACAAACCCTACTCTTCCTCTACTTTTTGTTACCTATAATATTCCTTTTTTCTTATGGCTTTTCCAACTGCATTTGTATCTTTTCAGCACCCTCACAATCTTCATTTTCTCCCCGCCCCGTCTATCAGGATTACATTTCTAAAATGGACCCAGCCTCCACCCTGGGACTAAGCACTGAGTCCATCCATGGCTATAGTCTCAGTCACGTGAAACGAGTGTTGGATGCTGAACCCCCAGAGATGCCTCCCTGCCGCCGAGGTGTCAATAACATATCAGTCTCCCTCAAAGGTCAGTCTTGGTGTGTATCTTGGGGTGAGGTAGTGGGGCATGGAAGCAGGGAGAGGACCATCAAATAACACATCATGCATTCATGTAACAAGAAAGTACTGAGAAACTAACATAAGGTGCTTAAGTAATGTAGGATATAAAAGGGTAGCATCCAGTCTGATGTTTTTGTCAAGCCTGGGTTTCTTACTCTACCCATTCCCCTCTAGCTCAAAGCATATCCCTAAAAATGAGGTCCAAGTTTTCAAAGTTAGGGGTGAGGGGAATCCTGTGGAACTGTAAAGCAAGTGGCTCTGACTCTCTTCAGTGGGCTCCTAGATGATGAAGGAAAAGCTCTTTGGGGGTCCTTTGCCATCCTCAGAACTGGTCAAGACTCATGTTTTCTGGGGTGGGGTTCAGGTCTGAAGGAGAAATGTGTCGACAGCCTGGTGTTTGAGACTCTCATCCCCAAGCCCATGATGCAGCACTACATAAGCCTCCTGCTCAAGCATCGGCGCCTGGTACTCTCTGGCCCCAGCGGCACTGGCAAGACCTACTTGACCAATCGTCTGGCTGAGTACCTGGTGGAGCGCTCAGGCCGGGAGGTCACCGAGGGCATCGTCAGCACCTTCAATATGCACCAGCAATCTTGCAAGGTGGCTGCTTCCTAGGACCACCTACCCGTCGTTGTGTAGGCCTCAGCATCCCCCAAGACCTTTCCCTAGCCCCTTCCTGCCCCCTGAATCTCTTTTCCCTTTCCACAGCCCTGCCTCAAGTGCTCTTTCCTTCCCCTTCCTTCCTTCTGTCGTCCCTTCCTCTCATCTCTTTTCCTTCCTTTCCTTTTTTTTTCTTTCCTTTCTTCCTTCCTTTTGTGCTATGTAACGTAGGCTAGCCTTGAACTAGCAATCCTCCTGCTGTCTTCTTTTCCAGTCTTCACTCTCCCCTGCCCCAATTTCTTTGCTGACTTTTGCCATTAAGTGTGTGTGTGTGTGTGTGTGTGTGTGTGTGTTAAACCTAGGGCTTCATGTACACTAGGTAAGCACTCTAAAACTGAGCTATATCCTGAGCCCTCTTTTTACTTTTTGATTTGAGATAGGATCTTAACAATGCTCCTGCCTCAACCTCCCCAGTAGTTAGTTGGGTTGTGCCTCCAGGCCTGGCTTGCCCCCTTCACTTCTTTTGCCTGTAACTTCTTTCTCCACACCTTCTCTTACCTTTGCCTCAGATCCCCTCAGTGATGATGTTCTCCACACCCTGCCTGTCTCTCATAGCCAATCTCTTATTTTATTCCCTCTACCTTGCTTTCCAGCATTACTTTTGGACCATGGGCTACCTGGGGGAAAGTATTCAAGATTAAGTACTACATGCTATCTCCCCCTGACAATGTATCTTGAGTGCACCCTAAAACTTTAGAATGGTACAAGTCTTAGCTCTTTCAGTCTGGGGGAGGTACATTAATGGTAGCTCATATCAGCCCAATGAAAAGCCATTTACAGAACAGGATGTAGTCCCTACTTTGGGGGAATATCACTGCTTTAAGGAGTTTGCATAATGGAGCCAAGGATTTATCTCAGAGATAGAGTGATTCCCTAGCATGCACAAGACCCTGGGTTCAATCCCTAGCACTTCAATAAATAAATAGATGTTTGAAAGTCTCTGGGACCAGTCAGTCAGCCTGTGGTAACCTGGTTCTATAATCAAATGTGCAAGTACATCCAACAGGAACCAAAGGCCCCAGGGAAATATAGAACTAACAAAGCTTCCCCAAAGTTGTTCTAAGGATCTTCACATGCTGATTTCTGAGTGCTGACCTACTGCTCCTTTTATTCATTCCAGGATCTGCAACTGTATCTCTCCAACCTGGCCAACCAGATAGACAGGGAAACAGGAATTGGGGACGTGCCCCTGGTGATCCTATTGGACGACCTGAGTGAAGCAGGCTCCATCAGTGAGCTGGTCAATGGGGCCCTCACCTGCAAGTATCATAAATGGTAGGCTGGGTCAGGGAAGAGGGAGAATGAATTCATCCCAGTCCAGCCCGTGAGCTTTCCATGTACACATGGCAGACAGTAATTGTTGAGGCAGACTAAGTGAATTCTTCCTTCTTTCTTCCCACAGTCCATATATTATAGGTACCACCAATCAGCCTGTAAAAATGACACCCAACCATGGCTTGCACTTGAGCTTCAGGTAAGGACTGTGTCTCTGCATGAGCCTTCTGGCCTTACCCAAGAGTCTATAAACTAGTTAAACCCTGGATTTGCAGGCAGAGGGGCAGTAAGCAGCAGAACAAGAGAACAGCCAGAGTCTTTCAGGCTGGGAAGGGGATATGGATGTATCTGCATGTTAGTTATGGGATGAAAGAGGACCCTTGAGGAGAGGAAAGATACTAAACACTAGGCGAGACCATGACATACTGCTGACTTAAGACTCTCTGCCTATTTAATCCAGTGATGCCAGGCAGTTATTGAACAGGTTACTGATTTGATAATTAACTCTGCCTCTTCAGAGCTGCTGCCCTGAATGCAGTCATCACTTACTATCACTTAAGAAGCCAAGAGTGGGGGCTGGAAGAATGTCCCAGTGATTGGGAACACTGGTTGCTCTTGCAGAGGACCTGGGTTCGATTCCCAGTACCCACATGGCAGCTAACAACTGTCCTAACTCCAGTTCCAGGAAGATCCAATGCCCTCTTTTGACCTCTTCAGGCATTGCACAACATGGATGCACTTAACACTCATACACATAAAATAAAAATAAAATAAATAAAATATATTTTTAAAGAAAGAAGCCAAGAGGGCATTAATGGGAGACAAGCAGGAAGAAGGGCAAACTGGCAAAGGATGAACCCTGACAGTGTCCCCATTGCCACTCTGACCCTGTTCTCCCTATTGCTGGCAGGATGCTGACCTTTTCTAACAATGTGGAGCCAGCCAATGGCTTCCTGGTCCGTTACCTGCGGAGGAAGTTGGTGGAGTCGGACAGTGACATCAATGCTAACAAGGAAGAGTTGCTTCGGGTGCTGGACTGGGTTCCCAAGCTGTGGTACCACCTCCACACCTTCCTTGAGAAACACAGCACCTCGGACTTCCTCATCGGTACTGGGGTCCAGCTTGCCTCTGGATGCTGGAAGTGATTTCCCTTCCTGTACCTTACTTCCTGGAGGAATGTTCCCTTTGCTTTCTGGAATCTTAGCCTTAAAGAAGCATCAAGCTATGGGGCTTCAAATTTAGAACCACTGAAGTATTTAACAAGTCTTTCCAATGCATTTAGCATCATGAATTGGATAGATTATTTCAGACACCAGAAAGCCAGGCATGGTGGTATGCACCTGTAGTTCTAGCTATTTAGGAGGCTGAGACAGGAAAATTGCTTGAGGCCACTACAAGTTCAAGGCCAGACTGGGGAATATAGTAAGACTTCCCCTCGTTGGAAAAAAAAAAAAAAGATAAATAAATTAATGAGCTGTAGGGGATGGAGAGATGGCTTAATTAGTAAGAGTACTTGCTGCTTCGGCAGAGGATCTGAGTTCAGTTCCCAGCACCCACATGGTGACTCACAACCATCTGTAACTCCAGTTTCAGGGGATCTGACACACTCTTCTGACCTCCTCAGGCACCTACACATATGTGGTACACACAAACTCACACAGGCACACACACATACACATAAAAATAAATAAATCAAATTTTAAATTAATGTGCTCTGGGCACAGCTCACTAGTAAAGCACATACTTCACATGTGCAAGGTCCTAAGCTAAAAAAGAAAGCTAACTTTTCCTTCATTTTCTTCTCACAATTAATGGCAAAAAGGAGGAAAGGTGTGTAGGGGGATTGCCATGCTTCCCTTACTCCTTGTCTTTTTTCCAGACAATCAGCACACATTGGTCATGAACAACTTCAAATTTCTTCTAGCGCTTTGGGTGTCATATCTCTGTACCCGGTACTAAGGAGTAAAAGAAGCATGAGGCTGGGCGCATCAAGGTTCCCAGACTTCTTCATGTGTCATTCTTTTCCCTAGGCCCTTGCTTCTTTCTGTCCTGTCCCATTGGCATTGAGGACTTCCGGACCTGGTTCATTGACCTGTGGAACAACTCCATCATTCCCTATCTACAGGAAGGAGCCAAGGATGGGATCAAGGTAAGCCCCAGCCTCTGACTCCATGTAGGCTTCTTATTGCTGTCTAACAGTAATTTGTTACCCGTTATTCAGCCTTCCCCCAATAGTCCCTCCCTCTTTGCTTCCCCGGCCTCTGGCAGTCACCATTCCACTCTCAATTTCTATGAAATTAACTCTTTTAGATACCACATAGGAGTGCAATCAAGTGATAACTTGTCTTTCTGTATATGGTTTATTTCATTCAACATGATGATCCCCACTTCCATCCATGTTGTTGTAAATGACAGGCATTGGTTCTTTTCTGACTGAATAGTATTCCACTGTGTATATATACCAAATTTTCTTTATGCAGTCATCAGCTGATAGATGCTTGGATCATTTCCATCTCTTGGCATTAACAAGGGAGCATGGAAGTCTCTTCAACATACTGATCTCATTTCCTCCAGATATATATCTGGTAGAAAGATTGTTGGATGATATGTCAGTTAGTTTTAAATTTTTTTGAGGAATCTTTGTACTGTTTTCCATAATGGGTATAATAATTTATACTCCCAGCATTCCATTTTCTCCATACCCTCACCAGCACTTGCTGTCTGTAGTCTTTTTGAAAATCACTGTTCTTATTGAGGTAACATCATAATTAATTATGATTTTGATTTGTGTTTCCCTAATGATTAGTGATACTGAGCATATTAAAATGGACTTTTGGCTATTTGTGTGTCTTCTTTTGAAAAAATAGCTATTTAAGCCAGGCATGGTAGCATGCCCCTTTAGTCCCCCAGGCAGAGGCAGGTGGATCTCTGTGAGTTCAAGGCTAGCCTGGTCTACATACTGAGTTCCAGGCCAACTGGGGCTACAGGGAGACCCTGTCTCAAAAAAAAGAAAAATAGTTATTTAGGTCTATTGTGCATTTAGGAAAAATTTTTATCACCTATAAGTTAGGGCCTAATGATCACTTAAATTCATTCCAGCACTAAAAAACTATGATGATGCCGGGCATGGTGGCGCACGCCTTTGATCCCAGCACTCAGGAGGCAGAGGCAGGCGGATCTCTGTGAGTTCAAATCAAGGCCAGCCTGGCCTACTAAGCGAGTTCCAGGCCAGCTGGGGCTATAGGGAGACCCTGTCTCAAAAAGACCAAAAAAAAAAACCTATGATGCGGGGGCTGGAGAGATGGCTCAGCGGCTAAGAACACTGACTATTCTTGCAGAAGACCTAGGTTCAAATCCCAGCACCCACATGGCAGCTAACAGCTGTCCGTAACTCCAGTTCCAAGAGATCCTACAGCCTCTTCTGTCCTCTGTGGGCACTGCACAACATGGGTGCACTTACCTACATGCAGGCATAACACTCATACACGTAAAAAATAAAATAATAAATAAAATATTTTTAAAAAAAACAAAAAACAATGCAATGACTGGTCCTTATCAATCATGTATCACCCACAAAAGTAATTTGTTATTGAGACAGATATTTCTGATGATATAATGAATTTCTAAAATGTTTTCTATCAAAAAATACCAAAATCATTGTTTCATTTATAAATTTGTGGATATTTTAAAGGAAATCTTGCATTATTAGTAATAGATATCCAATTTAAAAAGTAATGTTTATTCTGTGGGGCTGAAGAGATAGCTCAGTGGTTAAGGCCCAGTTTTAATTCCCAGCACCTACATGGCAGCTAACAACTATCTATAACTCCAGTTCCAGGGAATCCAGCACCCTCTTCTGACCTCCACAGACACTGCACAACACCAGTGCACCTCCTACATGGAGGCAATGCACTCATACACATAAAAAAATTTTTTAAATAATTTCTTAAAAAGATATTTATTCTCAGCCAGGCATGGTGGCGCACACCTGTAGTTCCAGAACTTGGGGGGCAGAGGCAGGTGGATCTCTGTGAGTTCAAGGCCAGCCTGGCCTCCATAGTGAGTTCCAGGGCAGCTGGGGCTACAGGGAGACCCTGCTTCAAAAAGACAGAAAAAAAAACAAAATTTGTTCTCAAGAAATTTTTAAATATTTAAAGCTATGATAAGTCAGGAGTGGTAATACATACTTTTAATTCCATCACTTGGGAGGCAAAGGCCAGTGGGTCACTGTGAGTGCAAGATCAGCTTGGTCTACATAGTGAGTTCCAGACTGGCCAAGGCTACATAGTGAATTTCACCCTGTCCTTAAAAAAAAAAAAAAAAAATTTTTTTTTACTAAAATTGAAAAAAAAAAAATTGTGCATTATAAGCTTTAGTGCATCTTAGGTATCCATCATAACAAGTGCATACTCTCACATGTATGTAGAGCAACTCACAGGAGAATAGAATGGGTAGTTACCAGGGCCTAGAGATGTGAGGGTAAGTAAATATCAGCCAAAGGATACAAAATCTCATTCAGAGATATTGAATTCAAGAGGTACACTGTGCAGCATGGTAACTGTAGGTAACAGTATACTTAAAACTAAAGCCCTTCATGGTGGTGTGTGCCTTTAGTCCCAACACTGGAGGCAGAGGCAGGCAGATCTCTGATTTCAAGGCCAGCCTGGTCTACATAGTCAGTTCTAGGCCAACTGGGGCTATCGGAAGACCATGTCTCTAAAAGACAAAAAAAAAAATAGAAAAGGAAGGAAGGAAGGAAGGAAGGAAGGAAGGAAGGAAGGAGAAGGAAGGAAGGAAGGAAGGAAGGAAGGAAGGAAAAAATAGATTTAAGTGTTTCTACCACCAAAGAATAAGGATATGACTTCATATATTCAGACTATTAGCTTGATTTAACCATTCCACATTTATACATGCTTAAAACACGCTGTACTTTATAAATATATACAATTTTTATTATGTAAATCACTTTATTCTAATTAACTGACAAAACATTCCACAGCTAGATTAAGAAAGCCACTCAAACACTTGCCCAGTCCCAGACTCTATCCATCTCAGTGAACTTGTGTACAGTCAGAATGGCCATCGAGCTCGAAGCTCAAAGCCATCAAGCTTCAATTAAGGTTTTATACTTTCACTATCAATTACAGTTTTATTCACTTATCCACCACAGAAAAAAAAAAGAAAGACAGAAAAGAAGGGCCTAGAGGGATGGCTCTGACTGATTTTGCAGAGGACCCAGGTTCGAGTCATTAGCACCCATGTGGCAGCTAACAACCATCCTCATACCAGTTCCAGGGGAATCCAACAACCTCTTCTTTCCTCTGAGAGCACTGCATGGCATAAGTACACTTACATACATGCAGGCAGTACACTCATACACGTAAAACAAAAATAATAAAATATTTTTTAAAAAGAAAAGAAAATGACAAGGCTATGTCAGAGTTGAAACTAGAAAACAATTAACTTTCTAACCTTTTTCATGGCTCACATGTCCTTTTGCCAACATTTTGTCCATCCTCATTACTTATTTTTAATCTCAATGCGATTTTTGTCAATTAAAAACAAAAATTTGTTGCCAGGTGTGATGCCACACACCTTTAATCCCAACACTTGAGAGACCGAGACAGATGAATCACTGTGAGTTCAAGGCCCGCCTGGTCTACAGATCAAGTTCCAGGCCAGCTGCAGCTGCAGGGAGACCCTATCTCAAAAAACCAAAAAAATATAAAATAAAATAAATAAATAAAAATAAAAATTTAGGGTGGGGAATATAGCTCAGTGGTAGATCACATGCCTAGTATGGTTGCATTCCTAGGCTTGGTTCCCAGCACTGCAAACAATTAGTAATTAATTTAGACCAGACAAGATGTGGTATATGTCTTTAATTCTAGCCCTTGAAAGTCAAGATGGGAGAATCACAAATTTGAAGCCAGTCTGTACTACAGAGAACACCCCAAAATTTGTTGTTGGTTTTTTGAGACAGGCTCTCCCTGTAGCCCCAGCTAGCCTGGAACTTGCTATGGAGACCAGCCTAGCCTTGATCTCACAAAGATCCACCTGCCCCTGCCTCCTGAGTGCTCAGATTAAAGTCATCTACCACCACACCTGAGTCCAAGTATTTTTTAATGAGGTTTTTTTTTTCAAAGTATTTTATTATTTTTATTTTATGTATGTGTGTATTGCCTGCATGTAGGTAAGTGCACCTGTGTCGTGCAATGCCCGAGGAAGACAGAAGAGGCTGTTAGATCCCCTGGAACTGGAGTTACGGACAGTTGTTAGTTGCCATGTGGGTACTGGGATTCAAACCTGGGTATTCTGCAAGAACAGTCAGTGTTCTCAACCGCTGAGCCACCTCTTCAACCCCATGAGGTTTTTGGTTTTTTTTTTTTTAAGCTTTCCACTGGGCATGGTGGCACATGCCTATAATCCCAGCACTTCAGAAGCTTGGTGGGAAGACAGCCATAAGTTTGAGGCCCGCCTAGAATACATAGCAAAACAAAATTAGCTGGGTGTGGTGATGCATGCTTTTAATCCAGCACTCAGGAAGCAGAGGCAGGCAGATCTCTGTGAGCTCAAGGCCAGCCAGGACTTCTTAGCAAGTTCCAGACCAGTGAGGGCTACAAAGTGAGACCCTGTCTCAAATATTTTTTTTTTACTTTTAATACAGTATGCTAAATTAGCCTCCAAAATTACTCTGTTTATGGCACTTTACTTTCTTTAGTGGGACACTCGGGAACACTATACAGATCAAAGCCTGAAGTATGAATGTATTGCCTGCATGTATGTAAATGCACCTGTGTTGTGCAATGCCTGCAGAGATCAAAAGAGGGTGTCAGATCCCTTGGAGCTGGAGTTACAGATGGTTGTTAGCCACCATGTAGGTGTTGGGAACCCAACCCAAGTCCTCAGAGCAGCCAGTGCTCTTAACTGCTGAGCCATCTCTCCAGCCTCTCAAAGCCTGAAGTCTTCACAGTTGAGGAAGTATATATTTCCAAGGACCATGTTTTTGTGAAATTTAGAAGAGTCAACGTGAGCAAGCCTCTAATCTGTGCTCATCCCTCCCATTAATCACATTTTTCTTCTCTCCAGGTCCATGGTCAGAAAGCTGCTTGGGAAGACCCTGTGGAATGGGTCAGGGATACTCTTCCCTGGCCATCAGCCCAACAAGACCAATCAAAGCTGTACCACCTGCCTCCACCCACTGTGGGCCCTCATAGCATAGCCTCACCTCCAGAGGACAGGACAGTCAAAGACAGTACTCCAAGTTCTCTGGACTCAGATCCTCTGGTGAGTAGAAGTCATTCTGCAGTTTTAAAGAGCAAAGAAACAAACAAAAGGAGAGTATTGAAGAGCTGAATTCTTCACATTCTTGAGGCATACTCTGATGGGCCTAGGGGATTGAGGAATTTCAGCAAGGCCAAGACCAGAATGAGGCCCTTGAGTATCATGATCTTCGGTTATAATGATCATAGGCCTGCAGCCTAGCTGAAGTTAATAACATCCCAGGAAGATGTATTCTAACAAATAAGACTCAAGTGACAGGCAGAGTCTATGTAAGAATATCAACCAAAGAGGGACTGGACAAATGGTTCAGCAGGCAAGAGCACTTGCTGCTCTTTGAGAGGACCAGGTTTAGTTCCCAGCACCCGCGTCAGGCAGCCCACGACTGCCTAGAACTCCAGCTCCAGGGGCATCCAATACCTCTACCTCTGGCCTCTGTGGACACTGCACTCATGTGCACATACCCACATGCAGACATACACACAAACACATAATTTTATAAAAAGACAATATCAGCCCAGCGTGGTGGTGCATGCCTTTAGTCCCAGCACTCAGGAGGCAGAGGCAGGTGGATCCTTGTGAGTTCAAGGCCAGACTGGTCTACATAGTGAGTTCAGGTCAGCTGAGACTACAGGGAGACCCTGTCTCAAAAAGACCAAAAAAAAAAAAGACACTATCAACCAAAGAAATAGAGCGATAGGACACTTTAGTGCTCTTTCGGCCTCTGCCTCTCTCCTATTATCCTGAGACTCCATCAGCTAAATGAATTCTACATGACCCCTGTAAAAAGCAAAGTAGGGGAAAATATTTGCAATAGATATAGCCAAAAGAAGATTAGTACCTAAAATATGTAGTTAAAAGAAGCTTCTAGGGCTGGCAAGATGGCTCAGTAGATAAAAGCACTTGTTGCAGAAGACTGACAACCAGTTTCAGGAGACTCCTCCTCTTGTAGAGGACCCAGGTTTGATTCCCAGCACCCACATCTCAGTTAACAACCATCCATAACTCCAGTTCCAGGAGAATCCAGCACCTACTTCTGACCCCTGTGGGCATTACACAACATAGGTGCATTTACATACATGCTGGCAATACATTCATACACAAAAAATAAAAATAATAAATATTTTAAAACTCATAAATCATATGACCTTGCAATTGTACCTCTTTCCAGTAGGAATTCTTACAATTAAGTCATAATACACTTTTATTTAAATTTTGACTTTGTTGAAAACAGCTGTTATGAGTCAAAACACTTTTCAATTGGGAGATTAATTAATAATATAGATAGAAAAGGTGATAAGAGCTGACTGTTTATGTGCATGTGTTTACATCAGGATTGGAGCAGTTGTTATTGCTTCTTCAGGAACTACCCCTAAATGCCGGGTTCTGAATCATACTGAGGATCAGGCCCACGATCTAGGTTTTTATATATTTCCCTGTAGACAGGACCCAGCATCCCTGTTCTCAATTACCCATCTCTTTACTTCTTTTTAGATGGCCATGCTGCTCAAACTTCAAGAAGCTGCCAACTATATTGAGTCACCAGATCGAGAAACCATCCTGGACCCCAACCTTCAGGCGACACTCTGAGAGTCTAGCAGTTGTCACCCTGGACAGCAGAAGGCTGGCTTCAGCTTCATGAGATCCTCCTCTCCCCTCTTCTTTCAGAGCTCCAACTCTCCAACCCCACAAGGAGAAAAGGAGGGAGGAGGAGGGCAAGAAGAGGAACAGGTTCTTGGTGCTGCATCTTTGAGAACTTCATAGTAGGAATTGGAGGGGTAGAGTTTGGGAACTCATGCCCCCTAAATACTAAATACAGTAGGCTTCCTCTCATGACTTTGGAGGAAAGATGATTCTGGGTCTTTTCTTCAATTCTTGTTTCACCTACAAACTTCTGGGCTTTCTGGGGAGGGATTTGGAAGACATCAAAAAACTCTGCAGCAGTTTCTAACTGGTTCTCATGAACACCTCTGAGACAGTCACTTGTGGAGAAATCAAAGGGAGGCAGGAAGCTCCACAGATTTTCTTGCAGATCCTTCCCAATTCACCACTGCCAACAATCTTTCCCCAAAGATTTTTCTGGCCAGAGCCCAGAAAAGAAGCATGTGTTTTTTAAAAATGTGTAAATCAACCTGTGAAAGGTATAAAAGCAATGGAAAAGATGAAGCTGGAGAGAGGGGACCCAGTTGCCAAGAATGAGAGCTGCCAGTACTTGCCTTCTGGATGACATAGGGGACATTGACAAGATGGCTACCAATCTAAGACATCACCAAACCACAAAAGTAACATTACAGCCTTCAGAGAAAGACTACTAGCTCTGTCTTCCTACCCTCTAATTTAACATGCATGAAAGTCAATAAACCCTACTTTTTCATTTTTTATTTTTTATTTTAATTTTTACTTTTTTCCTTCATTTGCCTATTTATTCCCCTCGATCCCCCATTTTCTCACATTGTCCATGAGATACTTGGGTTGCTCTCCAGGGGATAGTTTGGCGTTCCAAGTAGGTTTTCTTTGGAGGATTTAATTTCATATAATTGGTACAAGTTAAATGCCTGGCATGCCACTATCTCTGGCATCCTTGGGGCTTATATGAGATAAGAAACATTGACTCAGAATAGTAGGAGAGAAAGAACCCAGGTCCCTTGACTTTCTTTTTGAGAAAGCACATGTTTTTCCTGGAAGCTCAATTGCCATCCTCTGGCATGATAGAAAATCTACTCTGAGCTTCGTCATGGACTGGAAGAAAACCAAAATACTGGAAACACCCACCTGTCTTATGGCCTGTTTGGCCCCTCATTGCACTATTTGGATGGTAGCCACATTGCCTGACTGAATCAAAATTCCCTAGCTGTTTGTTTTTGACAGGTAAATATTCACTTATAAGAGACTGAACAACCATGTGAGATGCTCCAAATCAAAACATGAGGCTCAAGGAGTTTGATTTTTTTTGCCAATATTTGCCTTCCAAAGAGATCCCACCCCTCGCAGAAGTTGCTCTTTTCCTATTGCCCTGAAGGTCTAGCAATCCATGCTCTTTTGTTTGATAAGTACTTGTTGAGTACTTAACTGTGTACCAGTCACTATGTTTTAAAAGGGGGGCAAGACTTGGGTCCTTAAGTTCATAGACTAGGAAGAAATCTTAACCTCCATTAAGTGCACACCTCCATATTGTCTGGATGTTTAAGATCATTTAAGAAACAGGTGAAATCCAATGAGTTGGTCAAAAGAAGCCTTTGATTAGATATTCATTATGTTGTAGGCAGAAGATCTGCAATCAAGATGGAGCTTGGACTATGGAATCTTGCTTGTCTGGAGTGAGCAAGTCTACTTCTGTCTTTTCTGGAAACCAGATGGGACTGGAGTCCAGGCTGAGCTGCCTGGTGGGCTAATATTTCAGCACTCTGCAGTTCAGGGATATAGTGATGAGCCTAGGCCTAAGTGTTTGCTCTTCAGATTCCTAAGTAGCACAAGACTTGTCAAAATCTATACTATAGAATCCATAGGCATACTAACCTGGACCATTACTGTACCCAACCAAGGAGTTACATGCACCTGAATCTTCAAACCAGTATATTTTCATTTAGGTCCTCAAGATGGTCTAGGTTGTCCCTCACCCTGCCCTCCCCCAAAGCTTCTATATTCACCTGGTAGCCCCAGGGATGACAGGGTCCTCTATTCTGGAGACTATTATTGCTATTGCTGCTAATTTCGTGAGCTGTGAAAATCTCCAACCAACTCAGCTGCAAAATATGCAATTCTGTGGTGGGAAGAGGCTGTTTGTCCGAGGGTGGTGCTGAGATCATTGCCTCAAGGTCTCTGCTGTGCAGAGTAAGAAGGTCTCAGAGCTGGGTGTTCCAACTTGAGAAGGAAGGGAAGACTGGATAGTCCTACTTTGGACTAGGCCTCTTCCAAACCCTATCCTAAGCTCCAGTTCCATGGCAAGGCTCAGACTTTTAATGCCATCCTAATGATTGAGCTTTTAACTCTCTTTTCTGGTGCTGCCCAGCCAGTGCCTTCTGACATGGATGTTACTGGCTACTTGAGAAGAAGGAAAGTGGGAAATGCCTTCTTCCATTGCAACTGCCTCAAACCGCAGAGGGATTCTTGGCTCTGGTAACCATGGATACCATCGTGAATTTTATTTGGGTCTACAGCAGGTTGATTCTGGAGGCCTCTCATACAGTGACTTCATTTCTATTCCTGGGATCCACCACCCTCTGCTCTCACTTGACTGCTGCATTTAGTCCAGGCCTCTAATAGCTTTCCTCCAGAAAGTATGTTCCCATCTCGTGAAGTGGTCTTGGAGCCTCCACTTTCCTTCTGGAACCTGGGACCCTGTTTACAGTCATGCATCTGGGCCCCTCACAGTGGAATCAACTATCTCACAAAGGAATCATGGTTATGTGGCAACCGCAGAAGGTCGACCCTCCTCATGGTGCTATTATAACCCCTTGTGATGGTCATCCACACTTCTCAGAAGCAAAAACCTGAGCTCCCCCTCAGTGCTCTACAATGGCAAGGAGCAAATCCACAGCGTTCTTTCTGATCTTCACGCTTGATTCTTGGTTGAGACTACTGGGGACTCCTCAGAAAGAAGAAATTAGGTCCCAGAGCTAAATTCTCTGCTGCTTCAGAAGAATCCAGTCTATCGCATTCTGGAATTTGTGCTGTTCCCTTCCCCTTCAACTCCCCTAACTGCATCCCTCACCAAAGTTGGCTAGTAAAGAAGAGGGTTCAATACCCAACATCAGTGTTGGTCTCAACCTGATGAGTCTCAGCTCTAGGAGAGGCTCAACAGAGTCCCTCTTTTGGATGAAAACCAATAAGTTGTATCCAATGTATTTGTTTCTTGGTCCCTGCCTAGGCACTAAAATAAAATACTAGGTATTGGAGGCTATTTATTATGGGATTGATGTCTGTATGTATCTTTCACACATGCACACAAGAGCAGCTTGCTGTTGCTGTCTCGTATGTTCTGAAGCTTCACTGAGTTTTGTGTTGTTGGTTTTTTTAGTTATGCTTTCTGGCAACTCTTTGGTGCTTATCTCTTTTTGTAAATCCTTACACCAATGTCTTTCATGTAGTCTAATCATTGAGAAGGTAAAGACGGACAGGGAAGAATGGGGTAAAAAAAGGAAAGTCTTTATTGGTTGGTATACTACATTTGGTCTTGAATTGCCAACCTTCTAACTAATCTATCCATACTGAAGGACTTAAGACAAAAGAATGATTTTTCCCCCTTTTTATTTCTTGTCTTGTTTTTCTGGTTTGAAAGGGTTTAAGTGGACTTAATCTGGCCGTCTCTTCACTTGTAGCTCTCAGAAATGAGTTACACTATTCAGACAGATACCCCCCTTCCAGTGACCTGAGGACTGTTTCCTATAGTGTTCCAGAAAAGTAGGGCGAGAAGTGGTGGCTTGCTGCCTTTTACAACGCCTCCATTATCACCAAGGATGACACTCATCATATGCATAGACCACATTTACCTAATTATATATGAGGATTCAAGAGACTTTAATGATTTTTGTTTGTTTTGTAGTCCCGAGCTGACCTGAAACTCGATATGTAGACCAGGTTGGCCTCCATCTCACAGAGATCCGCCTGCCTCAGCTCATAAGTGCCAGGACTAAAGGCAAATGCCACCATGCCCAGCTGATTTTTTTATTACAAAGTATTTGGGAGAGAAAGTTATGCTAATCACACAGCTGTTTAAAGTGCTAAAGTAATTCAGATTGTCAGTTGCAGTTTATCATACTTTATCCTTTCTTTCATCTTGGGTATTAACTAAACTGAAACTAATAAATAGACTCCATAAACCAACCCCCATGATAAGAAGAGAAATGTCCCATTGCAGAGGGTTGGCAAGAGAGTTGGATAAGGTACTAACAGACTTGCTAGCACTTTTTTTTTTCCAGTTTTGGAGATTGAACACATGCTAAGCAAGCACTCTGCCACTGAGCTATATCTCAAATCTTTGCTTTTATTTTTTAAAACAGAGTTTCACTAAGTGCCCATGATGGCCTTGAATTCACTAAGTATTCCAGGCTGACTTTGAGTTTGTGATCCTTTTCCCTCAGTCTCTCAAGTAGTTGGGATTTTGGGCCTCTATCACCAGTCCTGATACACTCTTATATGATTTTGAGAACTGTTCAAGTGTTTTAGTTCCCAACAAGGAGGCCATGAATAAAATGCATTCCCAAATGGCCAAAGCCTGAAGATCCTGCCCTTCATAATCAAATCAGCTTTATACATTCATGAGTCCTCAGTTAACCTGCTCAGGATAACAGGGCCACTGACCTGGCTCTCCCCACTGCCCAGGGTACATTTATATACATCTGCTTACCCTAGCTCTGGAAGCAGGTGGTGCTGGCCATAGACCTACAGAAGACAGAGTAGACTGGAAAGTAGCATAGTCTTGAAGTAAGGAAACCAGTTGAACCTTCATAACTGCAAGGAGACAAAGACAGTTAAAAATCAATCCTGTTTTAGCTGGGCATGGTAGCATATGCCTTTAATTCCAGCACTTGGGAGGCAGAGGCAGTAGAATCTCTGTGAGATCAAAGCCAGCCTGGTCTACATAGTAAGTTCCAGGTCAGCTGGGGCTACAAAAAGACTTAAAAAAAAATAACCCTGTTTATACTAGCTCGTTCCAGTTTGATGTTTTGGCCATCTTTCTTAATAATTATGTCATAGAGAACACTCTGGAAAGGTGATCGTGAAAGGTGAGTCCCTGGTTCCTTGATTCAACCTTTCATTCTTTAAAGCAGTGGTTCTCAGAGGATATTTCTAGACCAGCAGCAGCAAGCAGCATGTGGGAACCTGTCAGAAATAAAATTCTCAGACTCTGCCCCAGATTTAACCAAGTCAAACTGCAGTGTTAGTGCCCAGCAATACAAATTAACAGCCCCTCCAGTGAATTTGAAGCATGAGAGTCCACTGGTTAGAAGGGGAAGCCAAGTATCAGAGTCCTCACTCAAGTGGTTTAAGACCCCAAATAAGAAGATCCTACATTATCATTATTAACATTATTTTCAAAGTCACTTTTCTCATGCTTATGTTTCTTGGGTTTTTGTTGTTGTTGTTTTTCACAATGAAACGTGTTAGGGAAGCACCTGTGTATTTCCTAGCTGAGTGCAACCTTCAATGAAAAACCTGTCTAAAATTTCTACCTGGCAAACTAAGGGGCTTCAATAGGGAGAAAGTGTTGGAGGTCTCTAGTCCAGACTGCTCTTCTGCTGGATTCTTTGTCTAAACATTTTTCTGATAATAGGCTAAGTTTCTAATAGGGTAAGTTAACTCAAGTCTAATTTGCATTCCCATGACAAAATGTTCTTCCAGCAACATCCTTCTCCCTTCTATGAGTGATAAAGAACACTGCTGGGTCTGAGAACTTGGTCAGACCCTCCTTCCCCAAGGCAGCTAGCCACTGTACAGCTCCAACATGCCTCTGTCTGTGCTCCCTCCCCACAGCTCGGAGAGTTCTACACACTGAACCGGGACTCTACGTCCTTAGGTTCAGCCTTTGCATTCCCATACCAGGATCTATATACAGATCTCAACAAATGCCTCTTTTTTTAAAGAAATCCAGAAAGAGTTTCATATCTTCCCAAACTCACAGACTAACTGATAAGGTCATGGAAGAGATGAGGCCCTTTAGAAGTTTTGTTTCTAATCTGTCAGTTTCTCTGAGAGTGCTTTTGTGTAGAACACAAAAAAATCAGTAGTACCAGATCTCTTGAGCTCAGAAACTACGCACTTCAAGGACTAAAGTATGAGGATGGCAAGTGTAAAATAATTGCACTAAAATCACCTATTTGCCCTCCTGAAGGCCCGTGATGTGATGGGTCCCTGGCTATCTCCTGTAGCGTCATCCTGCTCCCCTGCCATTTCTCTGAAAAAGAAGATATAAGGAACAAACTCCAGCTCACAACCAGTCTTGGTTACTGCTGTGCAGTGGCCTCCCACTTCCTAATGTTCTTTTGTTTATTGCTTCTAACAAAAGAATTTTTAATGAGTTCTAGACCCTGGTAGCTTCCTTTCCTTCCCCACTCCCTATCCTGTTTTAGGCAGCACTGTTTATGTGACAGTCTGTGTTTCTCAAATGCATGGCACTCCTCAAGTGGAGGGTGGGCAAGAATGTTCGTTTACTTTTTAAAATTTATTGGGCACAAAAATCCCAAACCAGGATATGTGTGTGTCTGTGTGTTTATGTTTTGTTTTGTTTATTTTGTTTTGTTTATCATTTGACCCCTGCCTCTTCCAATCTATCCCCTTTTATACCTAATACAGAAAAGACAAAACTGAATCTGGAAAGCAAACTGTTGTATATAGTTGCGGTAACAATCATGAAGAGAGTTCGGCTGTCCCTTCACTAATTCATTTTGAATAATGAATTGGTTGAAAATTACATTCATGCCTTGGCCAGCTGAAGAGGCCTTCCTTCATCACCACAGAGGCTACCTTTACCTGGGTCCTCTGTCCATCAGGCATGTCTCCTTCCAGCAAAATTCATCTGTTCTATACCATTTGCGTTTCAATAAAGTTATCTCCTGTATTGTCCACTGGTTCTCCAGCTCCCTCTCTGCCTGGTTTCTGTGTCCATTTATTTTATGGCCATCGCTTGATCTGGAAAGTTAGGCTACTTGTGATCATTTGCCTAACTCAAAAGCAAAACCCACCTACCTGGAAATGTCTGAACCCCAAATCCTAAGCAGGCGTCTTCCCACCTCTTTGGTTGGTGGGCAGGGAAGAATCTGGATCCACTGTAGACATAGTTTCTGCCCTAGTTTGCTTTCCGTTGCTGTGATAAACACTATGACCAAAAGCAACTTGGGGAGGAAGAGGGTTCATTTCACCTTATAGGTTACAGCCCATCATCCAGGGAAGCCAAGGCAGGAGCTTGAAGCAAAAACCATAGGCAATACTGCTTGCTGGCTTGCTCCCTTTGGCTTGATCAGTTAGTGTTCTTATACAACACTCCCCCCCGAGGGATGGCATGGCCCACAGTGGGCTTGGCCTTCCTACATCAAGTCGCAGTTAAGAAAATGTCTTTTTAAAAGATAGTTTATTTTGGCCAGGTGTGGTGGTGCACGCCTTTAATCCCAGAACTTGAGAGACAGAGGCAGGTGGATCTTTGTGAGTTCAAGGCCAGCCTGGTCTACATACCAAGTTCCAGGCCAACTGTGGCTACAGGGAGACCCTGTCTCAAAAATACAAAAATAGGGGGGCTGGAGAGATGGCTCAGCAGTTAAGAACACTGACTGTTGCCTCACGAGTGCTGGGACTACAGGTGTATACCACCTCGCCCAGCTTTATTTTCATTTTTATGTGTATGAGTGTATTGCCTGAATGTAAGTGCACCCATGTTGCACAATGCCCTCGGAGGTCAAAAGAAGGCATCATCGATCCCCTAGAACTGGAATTACAGACGCTTGTTAGCTGCCATGTGGGTGCTGGGAATTGAACCCGGGTCCCCTGCAAGAGCAGCCAGTGCTGTTAATTGCTGAGCTATCTCTCCAGGCCCAAGAAAATGTCTTGCAGACATGGTCACAGGTCAGTGTGATAGAGAGGTTCCCTCTCCCCAGATGACTCCAGGTTTCTGTCAAGTTGACAGCTGAAGCCAAATACGACAGTTTCCTTCACCAACAATCAAGGCCCCCCAGCCCTAAAGGTAGGGCTCTTGAGTCCTCCATCCGCTGCCACAAAGATTTTAAAATGTATCATTCTCTGGACAACCCCTAAATTTTCTTTTGAGGGCAGAAGTGAATCAATCTATGAAAGAGCTGTTAAAAAAAAAAAGCCATTAAAAATGGAGTTCAGGGGCTGGAGAGATGGCTCAGCAGTTAAGAACACTGTTCTTGCAGAAGACCCGGGTTCGAATCCCAGCACCCACATGGCAGCTAACAACAGTCCATAACTCCAGTCCCAGGGGATCCAACAGCCTCTTCTGACCTCCGAGGGCATTGCACAACACAGGTGCACTTACCTACATGCAGGCAATATACACGTACACGTAAAATAAAAATAATAAATCTTTAAAAAATGGAGTTTAACTTCTGACTCCTGGAAGAAGGAAAATAAGTATATTCTCCATTATGGAAGTGCAGATTCAAGAAGCAATCTCTTCCGTATGAAAGCACTATG